CTCATATACGTCTCATAACCGCAGTTCACACATATGTTTCATATGTTTGTTGTTGTTTGATTTATCATCTACGGGTTTATGTCGAATTAATTTGATGGCCTGCTCCCAGTTGGCTTGTTAGCTCAATTGGTAGAGCGCTGCACTAGTATCGCAGAGGTCAGTGGTTCGAATCCCGTACAGGCCTGAAATTTTTTTCAGGTCTGATTTTCACTATTGCTCAAATAGTGCTTTACTGCGAAGGATCGTGCACATATATGTTTCATAACCGCAGTTCATACATATGTTTCATATGTTTGTTGTTGTTTGAAAATTATTGTGTTGAACAAGTTAGAACTGAAAATATGTAGAGAGCCTTCTCTTTTTCTGGCACCTTGATCTGGAACAGTATTCCACTTCCTATCAAAACACTTTAAAAAAATCAATTTAAAAGCGCAATAAGGAAAAAACTTTTTGAAATTCTGAAAAAAGAGGATGATTATGTAAGAATTGCTGATATTAGAGTACAATTCTCAAAATTATAACTGTGTGTACTTCCAGTATATACTACAGTCTGCCCTCCTGTTTCATTCTGTCTATAAGCCACACGGCAAACTAGATTTCTTTTAGGATTGTTCGTCTATATATTATAATTATACATATAAATCATTTTCTATAGAATTCTTTTCTTTTCTTATTTTCCTCTCTTGTGCCCGCCTCAAATAGCCCTAGCTACTTCAGGGCCCAAGCATTGTAATTTTCTTATTAAGCTTAAATAAAATTTGTTTTTTTTGTTTTGGTGTAGTTGCTGTTAGAAACCTGGATGCTTTGTTGTTACTTAATTTTCATACCGCTTTTTCCAACTGTTCTCGTTGATTACTCTATAAAGAGGGGCATCTCGCTACAAAATGGCCCCAACTCATGAACAAGGCTCTTAAGCAAAGGGGAACTATAACTTCAGAGGTAACTTGTCATGAGGCCGATAAGCGCCATTTGGCTCTTAAGAGCTTAAAATACACTAAAGAGTTAACTCGAACACAGTTGTATCATGATAAAGTCACTCTACCTGCATAATGTTCGCATCTGTTGTAAATATTTAACACCATCTCCATACACAAAGAAAAACCATGTTTTCCGCCGATACACTAAACATACTCTACTGAATGAGTTTGAAAGTACGACGCTTAATTCTAAATGGCACCACTTGACGAAGGCTACGTACCTTTGTTGCCAAGAAACATTCACAAACTGATAATATTCATGCCAGTAGGTGTGAAGAATAAAAACAAACGAATTTTGACGCATAAGTACACAAGCCCGAGAATAATGATCGACAAGGGGCTGACCATTTAACTTTTGAGGGGAGGGGGGTGGGTGATTTTGAAAAAAAAATCTCCTGCAAGCGCTTGTTGGAAGAAAAAAATTGCATGCAGCCCAAATGTAACAGAAAAAATGTACCAAAAAATCGGAAAAAATATCCTGCACAGCAGATTGCTCGAAAAAAAATTTCTTGTTGACCAGAAATCACCCCCCCTCCCCCCTCAAAAGTTAAATGGTCGGCTCCTAACATGAAATTGTACATTTGTTGGACAATAGCCTTGGAAAAGCACTCGTTAACAAGGATTCAACGACAAAGACTCTTTTGCTTAATTGGATTAATGCAAACGGTTCACCCAGTTCAGCCACTGATGGTAGCTTTTTTCACTTGTTTTGCATGGAGTTGCACCAAACCAACATCATTTATCCGATGAATCGATTTATCACTTTCTTTTAACACACCTAGATTCACCTCATAAGTAGTAAAGATTAATAAGTTCATGCACATTCTCCCTGTGAAGTTCGTAAATTGAGCGGCTACCTTTCTGGCGATGTACATGTTGACAGTGGTAAATCTTCGGCAGAGTCTTACGTCGATGAAGATGAAGGCAATGATGATGATGATGATGATGATGATGGGATTACGTTGGAAAGTAAATTGCAGTTAAGCTCGTCCTGACCTAAATCCATGCGAAATGTTGAAGAAAACACTGCTGAGTTTCATAATTCATTACCTATTAACAATCATTGGACTAAAAGCTGAAATTTAAGGAGCAAGTGGAGTTCAATGATCTGTCATCATTATCATCGTTATTTGCCTTATTTTAACAATTAAAAAATAGTTAATTACAGCGATAACAGTCAGAAGGCGAGGAGACCTAAGAAGCCACCAGGCTTATGGGAGAGCCACCTCACTTATAATAATAAATTAAGTAAAGAAAAAGTGCTGCGGCTTGGCCAATTCAGTGATTATTTAAGTAAAAACTCTTGCAATTTCGCTTTAAAGCTAAGAAAGTTTGACGAACGAGTGACTGAAATAGGGAGAGAGTTCCAAATTTTAGGACCTTTGTAGAGAATTGTAAACTGCTTGACATTTGTACGGCACAAATGCGTTCGATAATTACAGGCTGTTCTGGTACCATAG